ATCGGAGGGGTAGACGAACCATGAGAGACGATGGACTCTGAAAAACAAACTGAGGGTTCTAGAGGGGAGGGGGGTGGGAGGATGGGTTAGCCTGGTGGTGGGTATTGAGGAGGGCACATTCTTTCTGCATGGAGCACTGGGTGTTATGCACAAACAATAAATCATGGAACACTACATCTAAAACTAATGATGTAATGTAGGGGATTAACATAAGAATAAAAAAAATAAAAAAAATAAAAAAAAATAGTAGTCCGAGTGAAAATAAAGACTTGTGGGTTTTAGTTTGCCACAAGTTGACTATAACTAATTCAGGGTGTGATATGGCTATTATATTTGTGAATGCATTCTTGTGCTGTAAGTACAAGTGATGGAAATAGCCGTCATGGCAGTGCTTAAAATGGACCAGGTGCTGTGTAAGCATATTATGTGTGTTATATTATTTAATCCTTGTTTTGCTAGAAGGTATTACTGTCATTAATTACCTTCTGGAGGCAGAAATTTTCAGAGAGACGTGAGCTGGCGAAGGACTAGCTAGAAACTGGGGGAATGGATTTGAATTGAGATCTGTCTATCTCATGGAGAGATGGTTTCTCCAGTGCCCAGATCAGATCTTGGCAGTAAAATATAAGAGATTATCTCCAGGCAGGGGGTGGGGTGCGATGGGGGTAGGAGGGCGGGGGTGGGGGAGGCTTGTGAGACCATACCGTATGAAGACTCTTTGAAGGATTTAAAGATGTTTAGCTTGGAGAAGGAAAGACTTACAAGGCTCATAATAAGAATATTAAAATACTTGAAGGAAGGGCTGTCATTGGCAAAGAATAATGAGTTTATTTTCTGTAACTCCAGAGAGCAGAGGCTGAAGTTACCAGGAAGCAGATTCCATAAAGGATATTTTAACAGTTAAGAGCTGTACAAAAAGGGTGCCTGAGTGGCTCAGTAGGTTAAGCAACTGCCTTCGGCTCAGGTCATGATCCTGGAGTCCTGGGATAGAGCCCCATGTCAGGGTCCCTGCTGGGTGGGTGGGGAGTCTGTTTCTCCCTCTGACCCTCCCCCCTCTTGTGCTCTCTCTCTCATTCTCTCTCTCTCTCAAATAAATAGATAAAACCTTAATAAAAAAAAAAGAGTCCTACAAAAAGCAGAATGGTCTGCCTTGAGAGTTTTCAGAAGAGTTTAAGCAGAGGCTGTTTAAACTCTGTGGTTGTATGGACCTTCCTATGTAGGGCAAGAGGATGACCCAAATAACCTCTAAGATGACTCTTCCTCCTAAAAACTCCTAATCAGTATTGCAGTTTCTCTAACCTTCTGCTCAAGTTCCCCCATCTTGAAGTTTTCTCTGACACTCACAGCCCCCCCACCCCCCGCCCGGTGATTGGTTCCTTCCCCTGGCTCTTCCATTCCCTTGTATCTGCCTCTCTCTTCAAGGCGTTACATTCCTTTGAGGGTAAAGAACAGAATTTTGCACATGGCGGGCACCCAAATATTTGTTTCGATTTAGTAACACTACGTTTCTTTTGGTAACATATTGTCTTGTTTCCTGTATTAGTCTTGGGAGTAGATAGTAAGCCGTTTGAAGTCAGAGACTGTGATTTATATTTATCTGTATTTCCTTCTCTACAACACCGGTGGGAAGGGTGTTGTAGAAAAGGAAATACAGATAAATATAAATCACAGTCTTGGTGCTTGATAACCATTGCTTTAAATTGAGTGGAACTAGAAGTGGACCAAGGACTGGGAGCAAAGGTGCGAGATGCAAAAAGGTCGAAGAGTACTACCGTTTTGCATAAAGGTGTGGGCTTCTTGCAATGAAATAATGTTCAGGAAGTTTTCCAACAGGCAAGATCAGTTAAAATTAAATCATTGTAAAATAAAAGCTAGAAATAGTAAAAGTGTTGAGTTTCAATTAAAAGCGACACAACAATACAAATATTAACAGAAAGCTCGAGTATTAACATAGTCTATGGCAAGAGGGGCTTAGCACCCAACTATTAGGCACAGAAAGAAGAGAAATAATTTTGAAATGCAGGGCTCCGCTGATTCACCGAACATGTGTAAAGGACAAATGCAGTCACTCACAGTGATGTTTATAGAACATCTGTCTGTAGGTCAGTTTGTATTACCTGGGTGTGTTTGGTGTACATATTGGGTGTTCAAAGTTCCTGAGAGAATGCAATCCTGCTTTTCCCACTTTTGGGTTGAGGGCTCCCTTCCCCTCTCCTTCCCCTCCCTTCTCTCTGCATAGCCCCCCGCAAAGCTTAATGCTGCCAATGGGGTCGACAGAGGTTCACGGTCCCAGGCTCGTCTCCAGGTATCATTCCACTTCTCTCCCGGTCCTCTCCCCGCACCCTCGCATACGAATGTGTGGTTTTCACTGGTTTCAAGGTTTCCGTAGCCCCCAGCAGTTTACATCCAAACAAACACACAAACCACAGAAAACGCAACCTGGCGGCTCTCGGCGGCCCGGCAGTACGACCACTCCGCCTCCCTCCCGCTTCGAGGCATTCCCCTCCACCTCCAGCTCTCACTCAGGCCCAGCCAGTCAGAAAGTCCCTACTTGAGGCACGCCGCCCAATCAGGGTGTCCTCACCTGCCGAAGGTGAGGCCGGGCTCCTTACGCGACAGTCTCCTGGGCCAATCGGAGGCAGCTCGGGCTTGGAAAGGCGCCAATCGCTCCGAGCGGGGAGGAGCGGGAGAGGTCGCACCTGGCGACGGTGAGTCACTCCAGGGAGCGGCGGCTCCCTCCACCAATCGGAACGCGCAAGGGCGGGGCGCCGGCCAATCGTCGGGGGGGGCGGGGCCGGGCGGAGCTCAACCTGGTGGCTGGATTTTAGTCTCCGGGCGGCTGCGGGGGAGGCTGTGTCTGTCCCCGGGGCTGCAGCCGCCGTGTCGTATCGGGACCCTGATCGTCATGGGGACGGAGGCGAGAACCGGGAGGAAACAGTTGCTTCTCTTCACATCGGTCATCCTGTGTAAGTCCCCGGAGTTTCGGGAGGAATCGGTGGATCGGGTCAGAGGTTGGAGGGAGGCGCTCCCCACGCCTCTCGCCCGCGGGAGGGGAGGAGTTGAGAAACCTGCCAGCCTCACCCTCCTGGTCCCCCTTTCCACCCCAGCCCTCCCCTGTATCCCCTCCTCACCTTGGCGGTGGCTGGCTCCCCTCCCCCCACACCGGTCCCCTTACACCCACCGCGAGGAAGCCGCGGCTTCCGCACGTAGCCGAAAACGAGGGAGGGGGTAGCCCCACTTTTCCCAGCCTCACTTACTGGCGAGGGCCCTGCACGCATCCACCCAGACGTACTTCTCCGCACGCACCTGGGAAGGGCCATCCTGCCCTCCAACACGCACCCGACATCCGCGCACCACCCGAGAGAAGCCTGAGCCTCGCACCCCTGACTCCTCTGGCCCCTGAATGCCCTGCTCCTGAAGGGCCCTCGGAAAATCTAATGGAGGTCAGGTGGGGTGGACATCTCTTTCCCTGGCTGTTGCTGAAGGGGGCTCCTTAGCTCCCCCGGATCTTTGGGTTGCGGTGGTTGCTCTGGGTAAAGTGGGTGCAGGGTCTGAAGAAATAAATTTGAGATCTCACCTTTCTCAGAGCACAGCACTTAAAGTTCCTCTCTGGGGTAGCTACCTCGAGAGTCCTTAATAAATGTTGTTGACTGAGTGTCTTATTCCCAGGGGGAGGACCTGTCTGTTGGTTGGCTGGATCCTTCTCACAGCCAGGACTCTGCCCTCCCCCGACCGCTTCTGGGAGTTTTTGTTTCCTTTGTAAACTCCCTTTCCTGTGGAACAATGAGGCTCACTTGCTGAGGCATGCCTCTGTCTATAGATAGGTTTGGGCGGACTGAGTGTATGGTTTGGGTCACCCAGTTAGGCACCCTGTGTCCCCAGCTGGACGTATATTGTCAGATTCATGAGTGCCTGTAAGTGTGCTTCTGTGGATTCTTGTGTCAGTAGGTGATCTGTAGGAATCTTTGTTTTTCCCTCGAGGTCCATGCTTTAGAAAGTGTAAAAGAAATGAACAGTTACAATAGCATTGGTGGTTATAAGGCAGTTCATTTTGCTCAGTTTTGAAGGGTGGAAATGGATTCCCTGCTCTTAGGCGGGTGGATTGACAGCTTCTTTGTCCCTTATCACAAAAACATAAGCCCTTGGGGTAAACTGGACCAGAGGCAAGTCTAACCCTCTCCCTATTGTACAGATACGGAAACGGGTCCAAAGAGGGGAAATGACTTTTCCAGATTGACGAAAGGACCTGGGAATGGAACCAAAGTTTCCTGAGCCCCTTTTTCCACTGCTGGATCCAGCATCTCAAGCACCCTGTGGCACAGGAACCATGATCTCAAACAAGTTTGGCATAACGCCCCCGGATCCACTCTCTTACCTTCTCTCGCTTGTCCTTTTCATTCTATGCCTCCACTTTCCTCCTTGATTCAGTTTCCATTTTTCACCTATTCTCCACCTTTCTTTCTTCTGCCTGTATTTTAGAACTGCTCATGACACCCATGGGCCTTCTTTGGTTCTTTGTGGTGCTCCTACTGGTACGCAACCTCATGCTGAACAGTGCTCCCCCCCCCCCCCCCCCCACAGAAGTTTCTCATCAGTCATGCTATCTGCGACCATGTGTGCCGGGCTTACAAGCTTCCTGAAGCCGGCATCCTTCTTCCTTCTCCTCTTTCTTTTTCTCTCCTCATTTTCTGCATTGTGACATCCCCCAGTAGCCCATACTGGCACTGAAAGAGTTGGGATAGCCCCATTCTGAGCTTGGGCATGTCCTCTAGTCTGTTCAGGGATTCACATGGAGCCAGAGGTGATGTTGCATTAGCTTGACAGGACGGTGGGTCCTGGGAAGTGACATGCCCAGGGGATGGGGGAACTGACCATATCACATTTAAATCCAGCTAGACCTGGGGGGAGGAATTTGATTAGTAAAATGAGGATGGAAATAGGAATCAGATGACCTCACCGGGTTTCTAGTTTGGCTCTCTGCCTTATTTGTGATCTTAGACTAGTGCCCAGTCTTTCCATCTGTGGACAGGAGTAATAATGCTTGTCCTGCGGGTTGACCAGGATAATAGCTACATTACATGTACATGAAGGGATGACTATCATTGGGCAGCTGTTTACCCCTTTGGATTTTGTGAGGAGGAAAGAATGCTGCCCCAGGAGAGTTGGTCAAAGGAAGCAAGGTTTCCTCCTCCTAGATCCCAAATAGCAAAGGTAAAAAAAGGTAAGGGCTCTTTCTTGGGTGTTTGGTCTGTCCTCTGGCCCTGGGGTGTCTGGAGCATATGTGGGTGCCCTCGTGTTCTCTCTTCTCCCACCACGGCTGTGCTCACTGTGGGCTCTGCCATCAGGGAGGAAGAACAAAGGGCAGGATATGATCAAGTTCAAGCAAAGGCCCAGCGCCAGCCCTGGGAAGCCTTGTGGAGAGGAAAGCCTGAGCTGCTGGGGCAGGGATTGGAGCCCAAACACTGAGGGAACTGGGCTTGGGAAAAGCACACCCAGTGACCAAAAACACGGTCTCCCTCTTCCTGGGGAGCCTGCACTTAGAATTCTGTTTCCAGCAGTCTCCCAGGCAGGGAGAGGCATTTCTACTTATAGCAGGGTCATGTGTGAATAGGAGGACTTTTGGTGTAACCACGGGGAAGAAGGGGGAGCCTGGGTTGGAACCTTGGTTCTTTCCTCCCATCCCACTTGAGTGGGGGATCCCCACCCGACATTCCGGAAGACAGGAGCTGCTGCCCCATGTGTGGCTCAGTCTGAGTGCTTGTCTTCTCTATGGATATTTCTGACTCAAGCCCTTCCACCTTTGCTGTTCAGCTTTGCTAGCTTTACCTCAAACTGTACATTGGTGAGTCGCTTCTCCTTTCCCCTCCCTCTACCACTGGTTGAATTTACTCCCAGGAAAGAATTGTTCCCTCGAAACCTGAAATCTAGTGGCGGCTGACGACTGCCAGGCAGCCAGGCAGCCAGGCGGAACTAGGAACTGGGAAATGCCCGGTAGTGGGATTCCAGTGCCCCCCTCCATCTGTACCTCCTGGCTCCAGGACACTTTCACTTTACAATGTTTCTAGTTTCTTTGTGACCTAGGCATGCCTGGGGTCTCCAGGCTAGTTTTGGTTTGGGGTAGAGCTCTTGTAATTAAAAAAATAAAAAAGTTTTATTTATACTTAGAACAGGTTAATACGTTGATGTACACCACAGGCATGTACTCCATCAGGCACCTAGTTTTTTTCACTTTGGATACCCTGGAGATCTTTTCATATGGGCATTACGGGTGTTGTGGTCTTGGTCTTTAAGATCCCACCACTGTCTAGCCCCCCCCACCCCCCTCCCCCAAGTCACTGGGTCAGGGGCCACCTGTTCTGTGGACACTGAAAGGGCTGACACCTTTGCTCAGAGATAGAGTGAAAAACTATACCCATTTTGCATGATTGAGTAGGAAATAATGGAGCTTATTTTTCACATCTGTTAGTATTGAGGAGAGACCTTGGGGACCTCTAAACTCAGACTCGCTTCCTTTTCAGAGGTTCAGGAAAGATCTGGATGACCACTTTTCAGATGTAATTGTGAAAGAGGGTGCAGCGTTGTGGGGAGTGGGTTGTGGGAAGCCACGTGAGTGGATGCATACTGGGCTTTTCCAGGCATTGAAAACTCAGAGTTCATCTGTCTGGGACTCCCTGATAAGCAGGGTTTCTGTCTAAAGTCCGGCTATGGCATTAGTTTCGCAATGTTGGGGGTAGGACAGGAGGAAACAGCTGGCTGACAGGAAGCTTGATGCCAGGCCCTTGGAGTGAGCCCTGGGTGGGCGGGGCATAACCTTCCCTTGTACTGGGGAGCTGGGTGGGGAAGGGGAGGAGCGGAGCAGGTAGAACTGGAAATTCTGCAGAGAGGGCAGGAGGGAGCCATGCAGTCAGTGAAAGCTCTCCTGTCCCACACTGCTGATCCCACCTTCTGCCATCCTGAGGGCCATTCCAGCCACTGACGTCACTCAAAGTGCAGCCAAGAAGGGCGGTTTAGACTCAGCCCAGCCTGTTGTTGGGCTCACAGAGTGTTCCTCTTGCCCACGCATTCCTTATCTGTCCTACCCTAACCTCCAGGAGCGAGTTCAGTCTTTACAGGGTGACCGGTGGGGAGGAGGAAAGGGCAAACCGGGGGTAGAAGCCCTAGGTCCAGGTTCTAATGGTATTGCTTTGTCAAATTCATTTGTTAATCCAGGAAATGTTGGTGTCTCCAGTGTTCTGAGCGCCCTGCTAGAGATAAGGGATAAAGCAGTGAATCACACTTGATATCAAGAAGTCCTGAGGGGAGCCAGGGGCATTGGAAACAGTTAGCCCACCTTAGGTAAACTGAGTACCCTTTCGGAGCCGGAGGCCCTGGCTTTCCTCCTCATTCCACAGCTGTAGCTCCCATACAGCTGGAGGGGCCTATGAAGCTCGTATGCCTAGAGGGGAAGTTCGGGTGCATTCTTAGAGAAAACCAGAGTCTGGCTGGCTGGCTGGTTTCCCTCCTTTTCCTTCCCTTAAAAAAAAAATGGAATTCAAACAAATTCATGGTACAAAAGCAACTTAAGGAACATTCTAATAATTAACAGGATGTATAGAGGAAACAAAGGTTTCTTAATAAAGCAGTAGAAGGAAGCTTTTCTGTGGTGGGCTTGATCTGCATATACAAGGGTGGTTGTTGGTGGGTTCTGTTAAGTCTGGACACCTTCGCCCTCTGTGACCACTTTATCACGGTATGCTTCAGTGGGGAGCATGGAACACTTTTCTGGGCAAATACAGTGCTAGGAGCTGGGGAGATACAAACAACTTGGATTCTCTTCCCAAGGACTACAGACATATATTGACTAAGCAGCAAGCGACAGAGTATGCCAGGCGCTGTCATCGAAGTACAAAATGTTTTGGGAGCATACAAGGAAAGAGATAAAGTTTTTTTTTTTTTTTTTTTAAGATTTTTATTTATTTATTTATTTGAGAGGGAGAATGAGAGAGAGAGAGCATGAGAGGGGGGAGGGTCAGAGGGAGAAGCAGACTCCCTGCCGAGCAGGGAGCCCGATGCGGGACTCGATCCCGGGACTCCAGGATCATGACCTGAGCCGAAGGCAGTTGCTTAACCGACTGAGCCACCCAGGCGCCCGAGATAAAGTTTTTAAAAAGATAAATTTTTATTAAATAACGTGCTCAGTGCAGAAAAATGGGAAAACAAATACAGAGAAAATAAAAATCACATGTAATCCTATTATCAAGAAATAAATAGTACTTGTGTTTAATTGCAGTCTTTCCTCTATGAATAATATGATATATATGTATATATACTTTATATATATATTACGTATATGTATTTTTAAGCAAAATGTGCTTTAAACAACCTCCATTCTATAGTATTCTACTGCATGGCTATATTATAATTAACTGTTCACTTTTTGTTGGACTTTTAGGTTTTCTTTTTCTTTGCTATGCTAAATAAATGAAACTGTCCCTGTACAAACATCTTTAAGCTTAACCTTTGATTATTTTCTTAGACTATATTCCTAGAAGTTGGGGAGAGATTAATGTTGACTGGGGAAAGTCATAATGGATCAAGGGGCATTTGAACAGGATCTTGAAGGTTGAGTGGGCTTTCCTTGCTTGTCTGGTGGAGATGCTCTATAGCATCATGCTTCTGGAGCCTCAGAATTAGGCAGACTCGGGTTAAGACTCCCCTCCCACCGTGGGATCCCTGGCTGGCTCAGTCGGTAGAGCGAGACTCTTGATCACCAGGTTGTGAGTTTGAGCCCCACATTGAGTGTAGAGATTACTTAAAAAAAAAAAAAAAAAGGATTCCCTTCCCACTTGGCTGTTTATAGCTGTATGATTTTGGGCAACTATTAGCTCAGTGTGGGTGCGGGTGGCTCAGTTGGTTGAGTATCTGCCTTTGGCTCGGGTCGTGATCTCAGGGTCCTGGGATCGAGTCCCACATTGGGCTTCCCACTCAGTGGGGAGTCTGCTTTTCCCTCTCCCTCTGCCCCTCCCCACCATTCATGCTCTCTCTCTCTCTCAAATACATAAATAAAACCTTAAAAAAAAATAGGGAGACAATGCATAGGGCACCAACCTTGATGGGAGGGCTCACTGTGTCATTTCTGCCATGACACTTGCCCAGATTCAAGAGGAGGGAACCTAGACTCTACTTTAGTCCCAGCGTAAGGAAAGCATGTGGGATGAGATAAACATATAGATCCATTGGTCTATTTTGGAAAACACAATTTGCCACAGTTGTGTTATTATTCAGATACATAGTGATTTTCAGGAATTATATGCTCAGTCCTACAGATTTCTACACCACCAACTCTCTTCTGACATGTACGAAAGCATGTAGGGATTGGTTTAGGTATTAGTGGCTACATCACCACCTCCCCTTCTCTTTACCCAACTCACCTTCTCTTCCACTCCCACCCCCTTGTGCCACTCCGCCTACCTACTGTTGTCAACTACAGTTATTTCCAGGTACCTGCGCTGTCACCCTTTTTCTCTCCTTGAAATTTATCAGACTCACCTATACTCTCCAGGATCTTGATGGTATAGTAATCTTACATTTCTTTCTTGTTTTTTTTTTTTTTTAAGATTTTATTTAATTAGTCTGTTTATTTAGAGCACAAGTGGGAGGAGGGGCAGAGGGAGAGGGAAAAAGAATCTCAAGCAGACTCTGTGCTGAGCAGGGAGCCAGATGTGGGGCTCCATCTCAGGACCCTGAGATCATGACCTGAGCCAAAATCAAGAGTCAGGTGCTTAACTGACTGAGCCACCCAGGCACCCCTAATCTCATATTTCTTACTTACCTGTTACCTCATTTCAACTTTAAAGTTTTTTTTTCCCCCACCTTTAAAGTTTAATCAGTGTTTTTGCCTCTCCTTTCTGGCTTTGTTTTATTCTTTCCTCCTTCTCATGATCTGATTTTCTTTTCCCCCTTTTTCATTCCCTTTTCCCCTTCCTTTTTCTCTAAATTAAAACACTTAATACATGCTTGCTCATTACACAAATGCAGAAGATAGAAAAGAAAGGCTGCCTGTGGTCTCAGATAATATGCACAGTTGTGTGCATGGAGTCTGTTAGGGATTTTGTTCTGCATATACTCAGATTATTATTTAAAAAAATAGGATCATTCTACATACTGTTTTTATATTTTTGGATATATTTCTGTGCTAGTACAAATTGATCTACTTTGACCTTCGGGATGGCCATATGTATT